GTGTGTGTGTGTGTGTGTGTGTGTGTGTGTGTGTGTGTGTGTGTGTGTGTGTGTTGATTAACACTCTCTCACACACAGCAGATGCAAAAGCAGCTTCAGTTACACCAAAGAGACGCTAGCAGGCAGAAGAAACCTCAGATTCCTTAGAGAGAGACCAACTGGCAGTCCTAAGAAACCTCTTCAACACGCACAAAAGATATTTGGAGTGAGACCTTCAGGGTATAATTGAAATACAGCCCTGCTTATTAGCTGTAGGATTTTGTCATGCCATAATAATCATTAGTATGTGCCACTGAAACTGAGCACAGCTGGAGACCTCACAATGTTTGTGACCCCCTGGGATGGGGAATGGGATACTTTTAGGTGACTATTTCCAGGAACTCAATGTAAACATGGCTAAATCAAAACTGAAAGCATTAAGCGGTGCTATTCAGAGAAAATCTTTGGAGATCAAGTGTGTGATGCCATTGGTTGAGTCTGAAGTTGTTGAACTGTTAAATAAGTAAAGTAAATTTGTTTCAAAGTAAACGGTTGAATCCATTGACACCTTTATTCATTCATCTTTGGAACACATATTAAGATATTTTAGCTGAAATTTGAGAGCTCCCTCATCCTTCATCCTCCGTAACCCAAGATTAAACGCCCAGCGTTCATCAGCCTCTGGCGCCTATGCTGCAGCTCTGCACAGAAAGTTTGGCCAGAAGAGAAATGGTTGTGCCCAACTGAGCCTGGTTCCTTAACTTTCGTCAATTGGTGACGTTTGTTCCTCACCACTGTCGCCACTGGCTTTCTGGTTTGGGCCTTGTGGAGCTGGGCATTGATGGATTTGCTCTTCAGTGTTTGGACTTTCAACAGTAAAAATTAAATCACGCTGACCACGCTTAACTGAACTTCAACTGCTGAAACTGAACTGACAATTTCAATCTACTAGAACTTTTATGTTAAGCTGCTTTGACACAATCTACATTGTAAAAGCGCTATAGAAATAAACATGAATTTAATTGAATTGGCCCCAAAAAGGAGTCAAAAACAGTCAACAAATCCTATAGGACTTTAATGATTCAACTGGAATTATTTGAAGCTTCAAGAACACTTTTGTACACCAAAAAAAAAAAAAAAAAAAAAAAAAACTGTAACATCAATTATACTACTTCAAGTACTTCTTAAAATTAATTATAATTTCACGTGTTTTGCATCAGATCAGGGTGTGCATTTAATATATGGTATGCAAAGCTTGCGTGTTGCACTGCTGAGTTTAATGCCAATACGTCATGTTTGTCTGTAATACCTTGATCTGGCACAGGAGAGAATATAAGTGAACAAATTCATATTTATAGTTTATTTTTTTATTTATTATTTTTGCTTTGTATGATTACAGTTCAACCACTGAAGTCACATGGTATTATTAGGTGTACTAATCTTTTAAGTAATGTCATGTTGAACATTATCAACATCATTATTCTATTAAATATACAATTAATATACACTCTAAACTAAAGGCTCTTTTGTTTTTTGTTTTTAATAGAAGAACCAATTTAAATACTATTGTATAAAGAACCTGTAATGTTTGTCTGATTGTTCTTATATGGTGGTAAGAATGTTATATCCACTCTATGAAGCACTAAAGTGATTCCTTTAACCACATTTAGTGATATATAGCACCTTATACTGCAGCATGACTTTATATTCTTTACTGGACATTATTTCTGTTCAGTGACAAGACTTTTTCCAAGCTATGTCAGACCCTACTGTTCTAATTAAGGCATGATCATATTTTATTTTGGTAAAATAAGCATAATCTAGAGGTATTTGCCTTTTCATATAAGTCACTTTTGATACCAAATGATCAATTAGCAGTCAAGTTATTATTTGCTGTCTTTAAAACTTGCATAGGCAACACGACTTTTGTCAGGTAGTGTATAATGAAGCTCGAAATTGTTCATACTCTTGACTTAAGTTACTTAAAGAAATATTTTTACTCAATGATGCCTCTTGTATATTGTCTTATTATCTTTTTATAGAAGCATGTGTTCTTTTTGGTCCAAATCATATATAAAAATGTATAAAAAGTTATATTGTTAGCATCTTAATAGCATCTTAACCACCCCAAACATGTGCTGGAGAACCAGTACATGTCCTTTATTGGTTCCATGTAAGACTTTAAGTGGTTCTATTTGGTGGCATTTTTTATTATTTTTTTTTTTTTGTGCGCGTGAATACCTTAAAATACCTTTCAAGACTTTTATTTATAATTATTTGTGATCAAATTGAGCAAAATGCCTAATTAGAATGATACATCACATTGAGTGATTCTTTAAAAAAAGAGTCTTTGATGAAGCCTCAGCCCCACGTTCAGACTCGCATCTTAGTCCATGATGTGGGCACACTGGCATTTCTCTCACTTTCTCTACCATGTTAGGAGAGCAGTGCAGGGGATTGTGGGAAATGTGGGCTGCCCCTGGGAATCTTTCATTCCCTCTGGGATTGAAGAGGCGGGAAATGCGTCCTCGCCAAATAAAACAGCTGAACAAAAGATCTGGGGAAGGGGAGCAGATTGGACAATTGGAAGGAGAAAAAGCACACACACTTCCACACACTATTGTTCTCATAGAGTAAAAGTAATTTCAGTTTTGTTTAAGATCATCATGATGGTTAATTCTCAAATTTTTGTTTGTTATATGTTACAAATATTTGTTGTTTCTGGTTTGTTTCTCGAGTCATACAGAGGACGTACAGGCTCATACACACACACACACACACACACACACACACACACACACACACACACACACACACACACACACACACACACACCGTTTTAAGATTCCTTGGCCCTGTAATTAAAATCCTTCCCTCTCCAGAAATACATCCTGACCCCACGACCAGCGCCGTTGAGGGAGTGTGTGTGTTTTGCAATTTATCTGGAGTGAGCGATTTCTGTCTGGAATCAAAATATGGAAGCGAATTGGGAGCTATATTTAGAATGGACAAAAATGGACTCGGACAAAATTTGAATCCCTATAAAAAAGTCTTTGTTCGCTTTGGAAAACATGATGGCTGTTTACGTGTTTCCTGGACATGGCTTACAAAAAATATGGAAGGCATAAACAAAGTGTTTGAATGGTTATGCTAGCTAAACAATAGCTGCGTGCATGTTGCTTAGGATGCATCTATAATCTGAACTGTTTTGCCAGTGATTGTGAGAACACAAAGGAAGTGTTGTCGGCAAGATCATCTCCTTTACTGTAGCTTTTTTCCTCTTTGGACTTAATCCCACTCAAGCTGTATGTATCTGGCTCTTGTTTCACAGCAAGTTTGTAAGAAAAGGAATAAGTTACATTTCTATGTTGAATAAATCTGGATTATTTTATTTAAAATAAAGTTTACAATTAATCTCATTACTGAAACGTAAAAACATTAATTTAGAGTCATCGATCTTGCATAAAATTTTACGGTATAAAAATTATTTGTATAGGAAAATGGTATTAGTGTGATATAGTAGAGAGAATAATATTGAGAACTGCTTTAAGGATATTGTGAATGTTAAAATGTTATAAAACACTTGTACAATACATAAAGCAAATAAATTAAAATGTCATTTCAGTTGTTTTTATTGGCTGACGTTTTTAAAATGTTTTTTTTTATCCTTAAAACAGCTTTATGTCATTACTTTTTGAAATATGAATGAGCAATTCCAGCGTTATGGATGTGACATTTGCTGTAAAAACTCAAAACATAAATTTGCTTGGAAAGTATACGTTAACATTATATTGAAACTTTATTCATATTTTTGAGAATAACTGACTACAGGGTTAAGAGACGAGAAAAATATCAGTCTGTAAACATGTTTTGTACTTTAAATGAGGGAAATAAACGTGTTATGGATTTTACAAAAAAAGTATGTGAGTTTTCAGTATACAACATACTTTGTAGAAATTCTGTGAATTAAACTGCACAACCCAAAAGAAACAATGATAATCATATGGATATGGCACACTATAAAACAAAAATGATTGGTTTTATTTTTTTTAATCTTTCTACATTTATGAGGAAAAAGTGTCATAATGGACGTGAGTCACGTGTGTGACTTTGGTAAAAATAATATAACAGTTTGAAAACATTGACAAATTCATTTTTGAGTATGTCTAAAGTATTGTAAAATACTTGCTCACACAAAACCCAGATTTGGGTTTTTTCATATTTTGTTAAAAACATACTTTTTTCATGACAAAGTTGACATTTGCATAGAATTGTTCATATATATATATATATATATATATATATATTTATTTATTTATTAATTATAATATATGTGTGTGTGTGTGTGTGTGTGTGTATATGTTTATTATTATTCTTAACCTTGAAATGCTAGCTTAATATATATAATATATATTTTTATTTATAATCTTTTGCTATATATTTTTAAATGCTTCTTAATGACTGATATACCTTACTATACAATTTGTTTATATGTAAATACTTATTTAATTTACTTATTTGTAAAATTAGATACTACAAATTTGTATGTTATTGTAAAAGTGTTTGTGTAATTTAGTAAAAATAATCACCTTTAACAGTATTAAAAACTATTAAAAGATATTGAAATATATTGAGATAATATTACCCTTATTATAATGAAGTAATGTAACAACACACAAAGCAAATGAATAAAAATGTCATTTATTTCTTTTGAAAGGTAGGAAACCATAGACATGTTTTGATGTGATAAATAAGAAATATAAAAAATAGCGAACATCCTGGATCTGTTTCTTCACTTTTCTTTATTCTTTTTTATAAATTATAGAAGCATCAGATCAGGTTTTTGTATTGGCACATGCTCAAAATAAAATGACTCTGAGGCAAGCAAAAAAAAAACCTGATTGGAATTATAAGGAGTTTACTATTGTTAATTTTCTTAGACTCTGGAGACTTTCAGTCATGTGTTTGGTGATTAATTGATTTTGCATTAACTGTGATCATTGCTTCTCTCTCTCTTTCAGACCTGTCAAAGAACCGGCTGTGTGAGGTGCCAGAGGAGGTGTGTCAGTTTGTGTCTCTGGAGACTCTCAGCCTGTACCACAACTGTGTGCGATCCCTCACGCTCAGCCTGTGCCAGCTGCAAGCTCTCACCTACCTCAACCTCAGGTACAAACAACACACATGCGCCACATAGACAGCCTCAGGTGTACACAAGCGGTCAGAAGTGTAGGATTTGTCTATTTTTCTTACCAGTGCTGCATTCAAAAGATCTAAAGTACTACATTCAAAGGGTAACATTTCAACAATGGAAAGCATCAAAGTGAATCCAAAACTGTTTTCTGTCTTGGAGGTTTCTATTTCTTATTAAATTTTGAAGGCAGCATAGATATGTCCTATACTTCCTTTGATATCCCACAATTCAGTGCTGATTTCCATTTATTAGATTAGATTAGATTAGATTCAACTTTATTGTCATTACACATGTACAAGTACAATGCAACGAAATGCAGTTTAGGTCTAACCAGCAGTGCAATAGCAGCAAGTGCAGGATACAGGAATAGGTTATAAAGTGCTGTTATAGAAAACTATAGTGATATTTACAGATGGATGTACTATGAACATTATATACAGGTTGGATAAGCTATGAGCAGATTTACATTATATGAATATATGTGCAGGTTGCTATTAATAATCAGTAATGTGCAGATAGATAAACATGATAACAAGTGTATATGTTACGATAAATGAATATACGTACAGGGATAGATAAACATGATTATAAGTGTATATGTTACAATATATGAATATATGTACAGGTTTCTATTAATAATCAGTAGTGTTCAGATAGATAAACATGATAACAAGTGTATATGTTACAATATATGAATATATGTACAGGGATAGATGAACATGATTACAAGTGTATATGTTACAATATATGAATATATGTACAGGTTGCTATTAATAGTCAGTAGTATGCAGATAAATAAGCATGATTACAAGTGTATATGTATAGTGGGTGTGTACATAATTACAAATGCCCATATGCAGTGGGTACGTACAGTTCAAAAAGTAAACAGTTCAATGTGGTGCAGTGAATGTGCAAATTTTAAATGTGCAAATGTTAAACAGTGCAGTTATTGCGAGGAGTTTAAGTTAGAGGAGAGTGGGGGGTGTATTGGGGGGGGCAAAAGAGTCAGTGTGGGGCAGAGTTCAGGAGGGAGACAGCTCTGGGGAAAAAGCTGTTCCTCAGTCTGCTGGTTTTTGTCCGGGGTAGCCTGAAGCGCCTGCCGGAGGGCAGGAGAGAAAACTGTCTGTGAGCGGGGTGAAAGGTGTCCTTCAGAATACTGCGTGCTCGGCGCAAACAGTGTTTCTTCTGGATGTCCTCTATGGCTGGCAGTGTGGTCCCTGTGATGCGTTGGGCAGTTTTCACCACCCGCTGCAGTGCCTTACGCTCAGCAACAGAGCAGCTTCCATACCAGACTGTGACACAGTTTGTCAGGATGCTCTCTATTGTGCAGCGGTAGAAGTTCACCAGGACGGCTGAAGAAAGCTGGTTCTTCTTCAGTTGCCTTAAGAAGAATAGGCGCTGGTGAGCCTTTTTCAAAGGTCCTTTGAGATGTGGGTCCCCAGAAACTTAAAGGATATGACAGGCTCAACGGCCATCGCATTGATGTGGATGGGATCATGTAAGCCTGTTCGTCCCTTTCTGAAGTCCACAATGAGCTCCTTGGTCTTGTTTATGACAGTTGGTCTAAAAAAGAAAGACTGCATCTCGTCACGACTTAACTTTTTACTTTCAATTATTCATTCATTCATTCATTGCTACGTCTTAGTCCCTTTATTCATCAGGGGTTGCCACAGCAGAATGAACCGCCAACTTATCCAGCATATGTTTTACGCAGCGGATGCCCTTCCAGCTACAACCCAGTACTGGGAAACACCCATACACACTCATTCACACACACTCATACACTATGGCCATTTTAGCTTACTTAATATCCTTATAGCGCATGTGTTTGGACTGTGAGGCAAACTGGAGCACCTGGAGATAACCTACGCCAATACAAGGAGAACATGCAAACTTCACATTGAAGTGCCTACTGACCCAGCTGGGACTCAAACCAGCAACCTTCTTGCTGTGCGGCTACAGCGCTAATCACTCAGCCACCGTGTCGTCCACTTTCACTTCCACTTATCCCAAATTCAGTGCTTTTTTGACAGTTGAGCTAAAATAAGCATGGCATCTCGAAGCACTCCTTTGGGGATTTTTGATCAATATTTTCCACTTTTGATGGCATTTCTAGTGAGAAGGTAGTAGTGTAGTAAGCAAATATTCTTTTAGTTTTCCCAATGCTCTGTATTTTTTATTTATTTATTTTTTTTGCTGTGTGATTAAATAATTATGCAGTCTCAGAAATCTGTCTGAAATCAGTTTTTCATGAGGTTTTCATTGACAGACAGGTAAGCTTTCAGATGCAGCCTAAAGCTGGTCGCACACCAGATGTGACGCACATATCACAGTTAGAAGTAGCGCACAATAAACGCACACGTTCATATGTTATTTTAAATGCAACTGTTCAGGTAGCACTCTGTGGCATGGCAGAAGTTAGTATAGTGTCCTGAGTCATAGCTGGGTGCCGGGATGCGTACCATGGTAGAAATCTATACGAGGCATCCGGTGTGCAACCCCCTTTAGGCTACATATATTTGATCAAAAGTACAGTCAAAAACGGTCAAATTTTGAAACGTTATTACAGTTTAAGATAACAGTTTTCTTTATTTTCAAAATAAAATTTCCCTTGTGATTTAATTCTGACTTTTCAGCAACATTATGTCAGACTTCAGTGTCATGTGATCCTTCTTAGATCATAATAATATGATGATTTGGTGTTCAAAAAACTTTTTTTTTTTTAAATTTATTATCAGTGTGGAAAACAGTCGAGCTTCTTTATATTTTGTGGAAGCTGTAATACAGTAACATTCAAATGAACATAAAAAACCTTCTACAGTAAAAGTTAATACATGTATAATTAAAAAAAAAAAAATATATATATATATATATAGTAGTATAAATGAGTAGGCCCCTCACAGATTTCACTTTTAAATGAACACTTTTCTACAGGATGCTTTACAATAATATATTTGTGCATATACATTTAATTAGTCCAAAAGCCCAAACTGGAACTAATCTAATAGAATGTAAGATCACAGTCCAAAAATGAGTACACCCAGATGAATATGCTGGGGAAAATATTAAATAGTAAAAGTAAAAAAAAAAAAAATTATTAAATTTAAAATTAAAGTTCAATAATTAGGGAAAAGAAGAAGAAGAGAAACTTTTGTTGAAATTGTAGTTTGTAATTTGTTTTTGGCAGTAACTAATATAAATTTAAATGTATTACATTTGTGTTCCTAAAGATGTTAGGTGATGATGTTTTATTTAAATGTACCAAAAATGATTGGTTCACTGAGAAAAGGATAAAATATTCATTTTTAAAAGTGTATTTTCTGCTCAGCACTGTATATTAAATAATTGCTGTAAATTCCTTTTCACCAATGAATCCTAAAAAGAAAAAAAAAAAAGTATCACAGGTTTCACAAAACTTAAGCAGCGGAAAAAAAAGCTTTCAGCACATATGATTATAAGTAAGATTTTTAATGGTTGAGTTCCAATAATTGTTAATTATAAGAGTCAGCATAGGAAATAAAAGTCAGCATGTTAGAATGATTTCTGACAAATAGTGTGACTCTGAAGACTTGAAGTTTAGTGCTTTGCACAGGTTCGAAATACTTTAAATTATATACTTGCAGTGGTAGCCAGATTGAAACATACCTTTTACCCACAGGACATAAACAATTAACTATATGCGACAAAAAAAAAAAAAAAAAAAAAAAAAAAAAAACATGATTTGATGTTAAACACTATTTAAATTTTATCTGTTTTAAACATTTCTTTTCAATGGGTTAAAGTAAAAACAAAAACACTTTTTCTTTTATGGTATTCAGGAGCCATGTGCTCTCACTGACGGATCAAATCTGCTTCTCTATCTCACATTCAAGTTTAGGTTGCTTTATTGGCATGACATTTTGTACAGTATTGCCAAAGCATTTTAGATGTATAAAATATGTACCATATTGAAAATTGAATATTATAATAATTACAAGATAAAACGAGTACATTATTTAAATAAAACAAATGAGTTAATTACCTATTTCTACAAATATTCTGCAGCCTATTTAGATGTGATTTCGTCCTCTCTGAGGATTTAGCAAAGTTTTTTTCTGAGTCGTTTAAATTAAAGAATTCATAATTTAATGTCTCTCTCGCTCTCATGGATGTGCACGTAAAATTAACGACAGCTTAGAAAATGAAAGCAATACCAAATTTTGATATTTCGTCACCTTAGAATTATAAGGTTCTGACATTTTTGTCAAAATTAAGTTATTGACATATTCTTATTAAATGAAAAAAAAATCTTATTGACATTATGGGATGTTTTTTATAAGTTGTTTACATTTTAAGACTTTTTATTTAAAAAACAAATGTTTCACACATACTGTTTGCTATGGAATGCAAAAACTTTGAAGCTCAATATCTCAAAATCATTCAGAACGCAGATAGAACCTTATAATTCCAAGGTGACTATTTTAGTAGATTTAGAAATCCTGGCCGGACACAAAAAGAGCGGGTCTCTGTGGGGCTGCCGTCCCTAAAATATCAAAAGTGGATTCCGACACCCCCTTATTGCTTTTGCGCCCTGCACTTTGCACTTTGTGCATGGATCATCAAAATAGAGCCCTATGTGTGTGAAGCACTGCACTTGTACTTTGTTTGTGATGATAGAGTTGCAGCATTACTGATCATTTACTGAACTTTCAAAGTCATTTTAAAAATGTAGCAACTGTAAACTTTTCATTGGCAGTGCGCACAAGGCAATCAGATGTCTCTGAGTGAAATTTCATCCATTCTAATAAATGGATTATATATACAGTAAATCTGTCATTGAGTCTTTTGTACTGGTGTTGGATTGCATTCGTATAATTCTCTCTGTCTGTGTTTCTCTCTGTAGTCGTAACCAGCTGTCCAGTTTACCGCCATCAGTATGTCAGCTCCCTCTCCTGCGGGTGCTCATCGTCAGCAACAACAAGTTATCAGCGCTACCAGCCTCTATACACACACTCACACACCTGAGACAACTGGTATGTACTTGAACACACACAAACACACACACTCAGTCTTGTGTTCATTTTAACTTTTATACATTATAAGGTATCTCATAGACCCAGTGTGTTTTTATTTTTATATACAGGGGTGCTGTTAAACTTTTATTCCTCCTTTGGCAGACTGGATGATATCAGTTAATTTAAACGTTTGATTGTTTGCTTGTTGTGGCTGATCTGCTTATTGAACTTTTACAGTAGCTGGATAAAACATACACCATTGCGTTTTTGTAATTGTTTCATCTCTGAACAAATAAAAATTAAAAACATGCATGAATATACTGTTAAAAACGTCAAGCCTGTATACTGTAACTGCACACAGTTTAATCATTGAATGATAAAAAAATCATATAAATCATGTACACACATAAATCAACAAACAAAAGGATATTGATACATACATTTCTACACTCTGTAAACTATTTCAGCACTAACAGTTTGCTATTTATTTATTTCAGTTTTTATTTTATTTATTTAATTTTATTTTTTGTTTGTTTATCTTATGGACCCTTTTTACAAGCCTGTTATGATGCATTTAGCGGTCATCATAATATTTTTTTTTTCAAAAAAACATATCTACATTTGTATGCATTCATGAATGTATTATATCATCTTTGCGTCCAATTACATAAAATGAATTACCGCTTATGTGAGGTGTTTCTAATGCAGCCTCTATGGGGCTGAGAGTAAATTTGACATCATTTTCTTTTCTGTCTGCAGTTATCAGCCTTTTTCTGAGATTTTATTATATTATTTCAGCAAATAGTGTTGTAAAAAAAAGTATTTGTTTTACTCTCCCATTCACTGCGCTCTAAGTTGTGTGTGAAAATGTGAAATGTGAAAAGGGTCCATAGTTTATCTAAAGATAGATGTTTTCATTGGCAAAATCATTGAAAAAGTTGTTTTCAAGCAGGTTAACAAGTTCTTAAACACTTTAAGGGGTGTTTAGACAATTGTCAATCTGGTTTCAGACCAAATCACAGTACAGAGAGTAGTTATTCGCCTAAATACAAGTTCAGGCAAACTAACAGTGCTGGTATTGCTTGATCTCAGTGCTGCATTTGACACAGTCGATCATTGTCGAAAACTGGGTTGGGCTGTCTGGAACGATCCTCAAATGGTTCAGATCTTACCTTACCACAAGGCTCAATTCTGGCACCTCTGCTGTTCAACATTTATATGCTCCCTCTGAGCCAGATAATGAGAAAGAACTAAATTTCTTACCATAGCTATGCTGATGACACTCAAATCTACTTAGCCTTACTGCCTAAGGACTACAGCCCCATTGACACCCTCTGCTAGTGCATTGATGAAATTAACAGTTGGATGTGCCAACTGTGCTAACTCTTCAGTTAAACAAAGAGAAAACTGAAGTCATTGTGTTTGGGAACAGAGATGAGGTTCTCAAGGTGAATGCATACCTTGGCACTAAAGGTCAAACAACAAAAATAAGGTCAAGAATCTTGGTGTGACTCTGGAGTCAGATCTGAGTTTCAATAGTCATGTCAAAGCAGTTAGTAAATCGGCCTACTATCATCTCAAAAACATTACAAGAATCAGATGCTTTGTTTTCAGTGAAGACTTAGAGAAACTTGTTCATGGTTTTATCAGCAGTAGGGTGGATTACTGTAACTGCCTCCTCTAGCCTTCCCTAAAAGACAGTCAGACTGTTGCAGGTCATCCAAAACGCTGTGGCCAGGATTCTGACCAGTATCAGGAAATCAGAGAACATCGTGCCTATACGCAGGTCTCCTAGTTACATTTAGATTAGAGTTTAAAGTATTATTACTTGTCTATGAATCACTAAATGGACTAGGACGTCAGTACATTACATAAAAGCCTCTGATGAACTCATTCTTCTTTTTTCCCCACTACATATCAGATTTTGCCTACTCTTCATCACGAGGAACACAAGTAGGAATCACTAATAAGTGTGTGTATTATGTTAAGCGCATTTAAGCATCACATATTATTTGCACATTTATTGAATGGAAATGTTTCTGATTCACGTATGCAAATTCGTCTTCAGATGGTGTCTTTAATGTTTGACTGGTCAACTGTATGCTATAAGAAACCTTATATACCTGCTAGACATGCGGATGATCTAGCCCCATACAGCTGCCATTGCATGGCTTAAAGATACTTTGTAGTGTGCAATTTAACACAATTGCCTCTAGGAGTCGCCAATGGAAATAAAATAAACAAACACACTAAAAATGCACGTACGCCAGACATGAAGTTGGCGTGGAACAACGCACATTCTCACGTTCATTTCATCGTAAGTAAATCCAAACGTGAGCGTGAAACCTGCCGTACACAAAGTTTTAATGCGTACGCAACGTTGATACAGTACCTGAGGCCCCAGGTCCGAGCTTCTCCCCTGGAGAAATGCAGTCTATAGCAATCAATGATTGGCTCCTGTGCGAGTAGGCAGGCTGCATTCACCATATTGACCGTTACGCTTTCCACCATTCAAAACTATACAAGTGATATGTGTTGTGTATTCTAATCTACAGTCTTTGCTACAGTCTTGTGATCCTGTCATCCTCCAGACATTTTGACATTATAATTTGACACTTGAATGTTTGTGTGAACTATGATGCATTTTATTGGCTATTCTTTAAATTCCATCATTAGAAAATTCTTTAAAACTGCAGCATTTTCATTCTTCAAGAGAAAAACACTGAAATATTGATACTATAAATGTCTTCACAGTCACAAACACATTGCAAAAAAAGCAAAACTAAATAACTGTTTCTCCTTCAGGATGTGAGCTGTAATGAGCTGCCGTCACTTCCCGTTGAGCTCGGCCAGTTAGAAGGTTTAAGGGACTTAAATCTGAGAAGAAACCAGCTCACAACTTTACCAGAAGGTCAGTATCAGAAACTCGTGCTCACAAATGGCTGTTCTGTTAATATTAGGAAATATTACATTATTAACAGGATTAAAGGAATGATGTATTCACTTTATTACAGAAATCAATATGTTGTTTGAAATGTCAAACACTTCAATGCACTATAGCTTACACAAGGAACTAGTGTGAGAACATTAGAGTTGAAGGCCTTTAAAAACAAAATTACATTTCTGTTTCAGATTAATAGAATTGCCGCCAAAAATGATAGGACATTTTAACCACTCATAAAGTAATAGTTCACCCAAAAATGCTAGTTTACTCACTATTACTGTCTCTTGTGATGTTGCAAACCTTTATGACTTTATGACGAAAGCTAAAAACCTGTAACCTTTAACATTCATAGTATGCTTATGGACAAAAACTATGGCAGTCAATGGCTACAGGTTTCCAGATTTCTTCAAATATCTTCTTCTATGCTCAAAAAAAGAAAGCAAGTCAAACAGAATCTTTATCTGTGGGTGAATATCCCTTTCAAATATGCTGCTTCCATAAAAATAGATTACCCTAGTGTCAATACTAGTTAATGGAAAAAATCACAATTTGATTGTTTCACTACATAATAAAACAACTGTAAACAATATTGTGATGCATTTAAGTTGTTTATAATAAATGTGATGAATTAATTTAGTGATTAATCCTGATGAATGCTGTGGGAACATACTGTACATACATGTGCTAAATATTCATCAAAAAAAAAAATGCTTATCTGTGATTAATGACATCCGTGGATTTATTTTTTACTGACCAATATGTTTTGGGCTCTATATGTGGATACACTCATGCAAATAACACATCTAATAACAATAACACATCTTCTTTTAACTCATTTTCTGTCATCTTTTTCATTGTGAAGCTAGACTTGCTTATAATGTTTAAGAGGACACTTCATGTTCATTAATATTATCAATTGTAGTTGAATGATGACATGAGCTGTGTCAGTGAGCTGTATTATTTTCGTTAGCATATGAATTGAAATGGATAGTAAATTGCAGAAGAGAAAATTGACCTGAAAAGTTACAGTATTGTCTTTTGTAGCTTTGTTTAAATCATTACATTATAACCTTTTGTAGTACGCTTTTTCAAATACTCATTGGAAAAACATTGTGTTAATTTTACGACTTAAAAATTATTGTGTCTTGTTAGTCTTGTGTTGCACGGGTAGATTTTTGTAAATAAACAAAAATGCATTGTATTAAAAAATAGATTTTTTTTTTTAAACCACAATTCATTTTTAAGTAAAGATCATGTTCATTGAAGACAATTTTTAAATGTCTTACTGCAAGTATATTAGAACTCAATTGAAAAAAAAATTGAATTAACTTTAGATTTGATTTTCTTAATATTTTTGAAATCTCAGATTTCAGGTTTTCAAATAGCTTTATCATGGCCAAATGGTGTCCTTTTCTTAAAACCATCCACCATCATTGGAAAGCTTATTTATTGAGCTGTCATTTGCTGTTTGCATTATCTCAGTTTGCCAAAAATTGACAATTATGACTGGTTTTATGGTCTACCATCACATTTTAATCAACATCAGTGAAGTAAGCATATATTGTATGTGCCCAGAAAAGGATTTTATAAATATATTTTATTATTATTATTATTATTATTATTATTATTATTATTATTATTATTATTATTATATGGCTCTTCACACGATAAAGGTTTTTATACTTTAATAATTTGTTCCTTACATTTATATAGCGCTTTCTGGACATTCAAAGCACTTTACACATTTTTGAGGGGAATCTCCTCATTCACCACCAGTGTATAGATTGGTGGAAAGGAGGCTGAGTGAAAAAGCCAATTATGATATGTGGATGGTTAGGAGGCCATGATGAGCAAAGGCCAGTATCCACAGAGAGTCAGGATCTTGGTTTAACGTCTCATCTGAAAGACAGGTCTCACTAAGCAGTTAAGAGTCCTTTTCCTTATACTGGGGTGTTAAGACCCACACAGATCGCAGGCTGAGCGCCCCCTGCTGGTCTCACTAATACAACTTCCGGCAGCAACCTAGCTTTCCAATGTGGTCTCCCCTCCAGGTACTGAGTAGGTGCAGCCCTGCTTAGTTTCAGTGAGTGACCATGTGAGAGTTGCAGAGAGCTAGCTGCCGTAACTTTACTCTAACTTTAATTACCTGAGCTGAGCTCTTTTGTGTACAGAAGATTTTTAATTCTCCTCGTATTATGCATTGCGTTAAATCCTTGTTTATTTATTACTGTGAAGCTGCTTCGAAATGATCTGTTTTGTATAAAGTGCTTAAATGAATCTGACACTCTTCTCTCTTTTCAGAGTTGTCAGAGTTGCCCCTCGTCCGTTTGGATGTGTCGTGCAACCGCATATCCCACGTGCCTGTGTGCTACCGCCATCTGCGGCACCTCCAAAGCATCATCCTGGACAATAACCCTCTGCAGATGCCCCCCGCTCAGATCTGCTCCAAAGGGAAGTTTCACATCTTTAAATACCTGAACATGGAGGCCTGCAAAATAACTCAGGACCAGTACGAGAAAGCTCTGCGGCCCACTGGTTTCAGCAGCTGGTGAGAGATCATCTAGAGTGTTGACAAGCTTTAATCACTCGTTTGAGTTGAAAATGTTCTCATGCTTCTGTTTGTGTGTGTGTGTGTGTGTGTGTGTGGTCTCTGCAGTCTGGATCAGGACCTGTTCCCTGTTCAGTTTGGTGGCCTGGATTCTGGCTTTAATAGTGTAGACAGCGGGAGCAAGAGATGGTCAGGAAATGAGGTATATAAAGAGCAGTGAACTAAATCCAGAATGCATCCATTTTTCTTATTGATTGTAATTTTTTTGACGATTCATCTGTGTTGTTTCACTCTAGTCTGCTGATGATTTCTCTGAACGCTCGCTGCGATTGACAGATGTTTCCCGTGAGCATACACATTTTCAGGAGGAAGAGGAGAGAGAGACATTACTAGATGCACCAAAAGGTAATGATATCGAACTGGTTTTCAACCAGGGCTCTGGGGTCTATTAGAGGGCTTCAACAAACTTTCACAGGCAGTCTTAGCACGTCTTAGCATTTAAAATAAGACAAAAGTAAGTTAAAACAGTAAATAAGTAAAATATCTTGGATTTTTGTTTTCATAGAACCATGATTTTAAGAACTCTGATGTAATGCTGACTGATTTAACGAAATCTCATAATTTCACCATATCTGTTGTTTAGTTTTTTTTTTTTTTTTTTTTTTAATCCCGTTAGTACTGTCTCTTTAAAAGCATACTATTGTAGGAGTAATTATGTAATAATTGTTCAATAATCAAAACTGAGGCAAAGTGTTTATTTATTCAAGGTTTTGATTTTAGGTCATATCACCTAGCCCTACTTGGACGTATAAGGAAAATGTAACTTTTAAAGTAATTACATTGAAAATAAAACAGTTGTTCAATAAATTAAATCCTAGTTTAATTCAATAAACATTTATTTCTATAGATATTTTCTGTGAAGATTGCTTAACATAGATGATGCTCTAGTTAATTAACTGCAGTTAAAGGTAATGTAATATCAGTAACCCGTACAGCCTCTTTACCCTTTGTGTATTACTCCGGCCACATACAGCCAGCAAAAAGCAGACTTTACAGATCTAAAGCTTAAAAGATGCTTGCTCAGCTGTTTAACTGTCAGCTTATGATTTGATTCCAACGCGGAAGAAAGTAGTTCCTCATTAAAAAGGGTTTTTGAGACTTTCCATGTTTGATTTTGTTTTTATATACACAATTATGCTGTCAAACTGTTGTATAAACGCAATATCACACTCGCAGCAGTGCAATATGGCTGTATATCGGCACTGGTGGGAGCTCTAAGGCACTCAGCCTGCGGCCTCGTGCCAATGCACGCCTCCCACCAGTGCCGATATACAGCCATATTGCACTGCTATATATATATATATATAAATATAGAAATTACAAATGTAAAACGGGAAATACATTAGGACCATTGTTTTTGTTTACATCCCTCAAAATGGTCTATAGGTAGAGTTTTTTGTAGTGTGCCCTTAGCAGTGACATAAGCAGTGTTGGTATCTACTGTAGCTTTAGTGTCCATTAAAGACACTCCCCCTAACTTACAAGCAGTGAAAAGTACCCAAATATACATCAGGCTTTTAAAATACTGTAGTTGGAGCATACTGAATTCTCCTCTTCTGCATCCTGACTATTCATTTTGGCATCCCAATTATTATTGACTAATACCAGTAAAGCACAAAGAAAAGAAAAAAAAACACTTTTCTAGAGACTTACTTTTGGTGGACTGTCATGTAATGCTTCTATAACTCTTGGTTCTCTCTGTAGTGAATGGAGAAGTGGAGCAAGTGGACTTCATAGACAACAGTCTAGTGGAGGAAGAAGAAGAGAGGTGTGGTCCTGCGCTTACAGAGCCCTCTCAGGTTAGGAGGACTTTCTGCACTCACATTGAACAGCACATGTGGAATAAATCCTTTTTTATTTTACAGGATGCTAGGATGTGGTGGTTGAAATGCCAGTGGTCTTGGTTGCTGTAGATACAGTTGAAGTCAGAATTATTAACCCCCTCCTGAATTTTGTTTTTAATTTTTTAAAAATGTCCCAAACTATGTTTAACAGAGCAAGACAATTTTTTACGGTATGTCTGATAATATTTTTTCTTCTGGAAAAAGTCTTATTTGTTTTATTTCAGCTAGAATAAAAGTAGTTTTTAATTTTTTGATACCCCATTTTAAGGTCAAAATTATTAGCCCCTTTAAGCTATTTTGTTTCTCAATAGTCTACAAACCGTAGTTTAACAAAAACTTGCATAATTACCCTAACATGCCTGGTTAACCTAATTAACATAGTTAAGCCTTTAAATGTCACTTTAAGCTGTATAGAAGTGTCTTGAAATATATCTAGTAAAATATCATTTACTGTCATCAAGACAAAGATAAACAAATCAGTTATTAGAAATGAGTTATGTTTAGAAATGTATTGAAGAAATCTTCTCTCCGTTAAACAGAAATTGGGGAGAAATAAACGGGGGAAGTAATTCATGGGGGCTAATAACTCTGACTTCAACTGTATATGCTCTTAAATATTGGCAGCAAAACATACAGGCACTTGCAACATTCATATGCAACCTAATGGTTAATGTGATTTCACTTCATCAAAGCGGATGAACAGCAATGAGCGCATGCTGATGGTGTGAAGAATGATTGGTGGAGGAGACTTTAAACTATAAAAAGTAGTTTGATCAGTGGTGAACAAAGTGCACAAATCAACACAGATGCTGAAGTACAGTTGTTTTACTCCAGTAAAAGTACTTTTTTTTTTCAATTTGACAGTAATTTATTTTAATCAGACTTGTGAATTAGGTGAATCGTTAACTCAACATCCAGACCACTCTAGAAAAGTACCAGCTTTTTTCCGAAAAGGGGATCATGTGTGACTAGGCCCTTTTTAAAAATACCGGTAAATTCTGGTCATTTTCCGGAAAGATCAGTTGTAACATTACTGGTACTTTGCCGAAATGCTGCACTGTGTGAGTGCAGAAGGAAGATCGCTTAAAAGAGCGCATTCTAAACATCTACTCCAGCCAATCAAAACCTTTAAACGCATTCACATCTGCATTGTTTATGAAAATAAAAGCCTTGGAATACTTTTCCAGACACAGTTATCTGGTAGATGTGTTCCTTCTTAACCAGTTAAGCTCTGGGGCTATTTGGGGTAATTCCGCCTGAATTTGGCCTTCTGATTTAAAAAGCTTTCCATACCCACATGCAGAGGTGTAAATACAAAAGTTTGGTATCATTTCATAAATACTGTTAAAGTTGAAAACAATTGTTGTATATATTGTCTGTGTTATAATAAACACACACAAAAAAGGCACTATTTTTATTTTTTTTTAATAAACTGAAGTTTGGTAATGTGTACCTCAGGCCTTGAGTGTTTCAGCACCCTGGAAACAATTTTATTTATTTCCAGCAGGTGTCAGCAAACACTGGAAAAATATTTTTTTTCTTTAAAATAATTTATGTGAGAGTTAAGGCTGATTTATACTTCTGCATAAAAACGCCGGCTTATGCTACGGCGCTGATGCATGGCCCTTCGCCATGGCCGTCGGCGTCGCTGACGTGCACCTCTTAAAAAATATAACAACGATGCGTAGCGCAAGCTCTGTGATTGGTCAGCTTGGTAGCGCTGACAAGTCTGGGTGGGACCGAGAGCCGCGGGAATGGTGCGAGCCTGATGGAGCGATTGTTTACAAGTGTGGAGTCCCGTGAAGGAGCTTTGGATGGAAAGTTTTGTTTTGTGTTTACCTCATAGTTAAAGTTGTTGCACGTCCGCCAGTTCCTGCCTCAAAATCAGCGAGTTTGAGCCACTTGTACATCCCGGAAGTGTTCAGGAAAAGCAAAACAGCAGCGAAGAAACTCGACACAGAGGAACATTTACACCTCACTGCCAACTAACGTTTTGGAAGTGTTAATGCAGACCGACAGAGACAGCGTGCAGAAGTATAAATGCACAGCTACGTGCGTTGCATGCGCCGTGGGTTACGCCGGTCACTTGACGCAGAAGTATAAACCAGGCTTTATTCTATTCCAACTCCAAGGAGGAAAAATGCCTTTTTTTCCGCCTACCTATTTTTGAAGTCTCCTCATACCCTCATACAGTACAATAAATGCAATATCTCAATGTCATTTTACAGAAACCCTTTGAAATTACAAAAATAACTGCTGAACGTGATAAATATTATTATACATGTTGTCTGTCCAATGATGAACCACCTCAACACAAAACCCTTTTAGTTTTTTTGTTTTTAAAGCCTGATTTAGAAAGTGTATAATTTAGATCTGTATGCTCCATCAAACTGCAGATAGTTTTGATTGTTATCAGGCACGCAGAGTTTAACTGGTCAATGTCAACTGTGAAAAACATAATCTATGAAATGCTTATTATACACCGCTGTGAGTCTACCTTCAAGCTTTGCTTCAGTTGCTTGATGCGTGGTCTGGTGAGCGCTGGCACACACACATATTATGTATATTATATTCCTCCATATGTTTTCATCAAAGTTGTTCACAATACTTATCCATCCACAGAAAATGTTATGTAGTCAAATGTGTAAACGTTTAGCTGCGGTTCACGCTTCTGCCTTTTTTTAGACCATATGGGGCACAGCATGTGTATTTGGACATAACTCAGGTTTTTGACCACACTTCGTTATTATTGTTCCTTTATTCGTTTGCTGGAAATTAGAACTGAATTTAGAAATAGTTTTGAAACAAATCTTTGCGCTTAACAAACAAAATTATTTATTTTTAAGGCTAATTGATGTCTGTGCACAAAGGTTTCCCTATCCACAAGAGCGAAAGTGAAAGTAGATCATTTATCTCTCATTCTCACGCTGTAGATGCTCTGTTTAACTGTTTTCTTGCTAGTAAAGCGCTCAGCTTTTCCACTTACAAAGTCTGTCATGTAAATAGCAAATGCGTTATAGCGACTCTTAAAGGGAATGGGAGATGAGACTCTGATTGGTTTATTTTCAAAACACACCTATAACTCATTAAGAGAATAAGCTCAACCCTTTTAGACCATGCGCCACGGATTTCTCCGTCCTTGTATTAGCAAAAGTGGATTCTGACACGTCCTTAATGCTTTGCGCCCTGCACTTTGGACTTTGTGCATGGATCGTCAAAATAGAGCCCTAGGTGTGAAAGCACCCTAATTTTAGACAAGCTGTCATTAAAAATGTTTCCAAAAATATTATTATTTCATGATTCCTTAATAAAAAGTTCAAAAGAACAGCCTTTTTTGTTTATAATTATATTTTTGTAGCAATATATATATATATATATATATATATATATATATATATATATATATATATATATATATATATATATATATATATTTTTTTTTTTTTTTTTTTTTATTTTATTTATTTATTTTTTTTTTACTGTCATTTTTCATCAGTTTTTTAATTGAATGTATCTTTAAATACTTATTGATTTAGGAGTATTCATCTTGCAAATTCATTCATTATTTTCTTTTTGGGTTAGTCCCTTTATTAATCTGGGGTCGTCACAGCAGAATGAACCACCAACTTATCCAGCATATGTTTTACACAGCGGATAACCTTCCAGTTGTTTCCCATCACTGGGAAACATCTATACACATTCACATTAACACTCATACACTACGAATTTTAGCTTACCCAATTCCCTTATAGCGCATGTGTTTGGACTTGTGGGGTAAACCGGAGCACCCGGAGAAAACCCACGCCAACACTGGCATCTTGCAAACATTAAGGCAATTTATTTTACTTCTCTCCCTGCCAGGAAAAGAGTGAAAGTTTGGTCAGCACACCATCCCAGAGCCCCGAATCTACAGGCAGCAGGTGAGCACTGATATGACCTTTTCCACCCTTTACAAACACACAACACACACATGACACTGAGTAATAGTTCACCCAAAACTGTCATTTACATTTTGCAAACCTAAAAAAACTCAATAATGTTTGGAACCACTTGTGAGTAAACAATAAGTAATTTTTTTTTTTTTTTTTGTGTGAACTCCCTCTTTAATAACGCCTGTTAATATACTTAAAGTGGCGGATATCCGAACAGAAGAATTGTAATTGTATCGTTTACCTAAACCTGTAAGCATTCAGGTAGAAGTCATGTAAAACAGTCATATAAATGCATGTTAGAGTAACTGACCAGCCTATTAGATTAAACATTTGAATTTACGAACACAAGAAACTCTTATTTATGTGCACAAATGCAGTATGTGGTTAGTTCCTTGTGTTAGACGTGCTTGTTCTACAGAAGTTGCTCATTCTTTCAGCTTGATCTTGATCTGATATTTTAAGAATCTGCGAGACAGATGGCACACTTTCATTCCAAGTCTCCAATATTTTTTTTGTCATATTCTTTTTGTCATGTAGACATGGCACATTCAAACTAGACAATACAGGAAACACTGACATAACAAAGAGTGGCCAACATTTGAATGCATTTGAATACAGCTGGGAAAGATCAGTTCTCATTCTGGATGGGCATGATAAATAAAGGAGAGGGAGGCATTGTACTGTCTCATGGCAGCAGGCCGGAACATTTCCAGTAGGTCTTCTGGAAGACTGGAATTAGCCAGCAAAAAAGACAGAGAGGCTCGCCAAGACAGAGAAGATATGCAGTGTTGTTCATTGTAATGACTAAAATACACAGGTATATATATAAGAAATAGACCTTTAGAATTACACAACAACATTGTTTGTCCTCTTCCTGTGTAAATTGAAGGTTATGGCGACTTCCTTCAGTTGATTATAATGCGTGTTTAAACAGTCTCTTAATTAAAGTGTGCTGGATCCCTCTTCCACTTTGATTGCGCAAGGTCAATCTGTGAGGGAGTGCTGGGAAAAGTCAACACTGAGCTTCCTCCCACAGTTTTAGTGAAATCTAGTATCTTGTCATCGCTGAGTGAACTCATCTGCTTTATTCAACAATAAAACTGCAGCCAGATATAATATCTGCTCTTTTTATTGACAGAAACATGGTCTAATACCCTTTTGCCCTCTCCCATGATTAATTCTATTACTATTGGGATCTAAATAATGTCAAAAAGGGTAATAATATTACTTTAAAAATAAATAAGTTAACAACAACAATAACAACATGTGATTGTTAGTCTCTTGCATCCTGTAAGGGCTGCACAATTTATTCAAATGTAAATACATGTATTGTAAATGTAATGTAATGTTAGTGTAATGCAATATAAAAAAAAGTAATGTATGTTTTTGTTTACAATGAGTAGCTCCCGATTAAGTTTTGAGTGACTCAGTTCCCTATAAATGCTTCTTCAAATGTATTTAAAGGTGTAGTTCATGCAAAAATGAAAATTCTTCTGTCAGCATTTACTCACGTTTCACTTTTCACAAACCTGTCTTTCTTATTTCTGTCATACACAGTCAGATAATTTAAAGAAAGCTTGAAACCTGTAACCATATATACTGTATTTCCTACTGTTAACAGTTAAAGATTTTTTGTGTTCAATATTAAAGGTTAATAAGGTTTAACATATTGTGGTTAATAGTAAGTATTTAGATTTTTTGAGCAAACTATTCCTTTAATTTGATATATTATATTATATTATATTATATTATATTATATTATATTATATTATATTATATTATATTATATTATATTATATTATATTATATTATTATAAGTTTTATATGTATATATACATTTTTTCTACAAAATCATCACAATCATTCTGGAATTAATTGGTCACCCTTCACTTATTTCAAAGCTGTTTGGGTTCTGTTGAACACAGAAGAAGAAGATATTTTGAAGAGAGCTGGAAACCAGTAACCATTAACTTCCATAGTGTTTTTCTTTATGTACTATGAAATTCAGTGGTTACAGATCTTCAGCTTTGTGTTCAGTAGAATAATAAAAAAAGCAACCCAACAGTGAGTAAATTTTTATTTTTGGGGAACTATCACTTTAAAATCTGTTAATATACTTGAAAAGGAATTAATCCTAACATAAGGATTCCATCGCCCATTGTGACAAATTAATGTGATTAAAGTATTGCTGATTTTTTTTTTTTATTACCATTAACTGATATACTTTTTTCTACATTCTACAGCAATACATTACTCCCACTGTTCTTTGAACTTGTAGACATCAAGTAATTATTAAATTTGCGGTAACCCTTTATTTTGATGGTACATTTGAGTAGTAGTAAACTGTCTGCTTAATATCTGCTGATACTGCTCCTTCAACAGACATTTAACTGACTATAAGAAACTTTGCAAGTACATGTCAACTTACACTAACCCCAACCCCAACCCAACAGTCTACTTACAATCTAATGAGAATTAGTTAGCATGCAGATGCAATGTAACTTAAATTCAACAACCCATTAAAATAAAGTGTGACCATATTTGCTAACGAAAAGAAACAATTAAAAAAAAAATGATTATATTTTTCAGTCAGATTTAAAGTCGTCAGTTCAAGTTGCAGAAGGTCACAGCAGTCTGTAGATTTGGGGCAGTCAATGTAGGCTGATTTCATTCAAAATATTTAGTGCAAGATGAGCACAGCCTCTAGTTTTGCTTTAGACAATGTCCATGCGATTCAAGGATTTCTATCATTCTTGATGAATTGATACAATTCAGTCATGTTTCCCCCAGCAACAATCTACATGTCTGTGTCTGTAGCAGCTTCGAAATATCTAGATTGTGATCTTTTATTTTACGAGGCTTAGTTTTCGTTTCTCTGTAACCTTTTCAGCAAGTGAATAGATTTCTATTTGAAATTATGTTGGAAGGTCATGTTGTCTATTCCAGCCTTATGATAAATCTCATACAACTTGTTTAGAAACAGGTGTGTTATTAAAGGGACAGTTCACCAAAAAATGAAATTTGCTCACCATCAAATAGTTCCTCACCTTTATGAGTTTAATAAAGAAAAGAGTTTTCTGTTAAACACAAAAGAAGATATTTTGAAGAATGCTATAAGCCAGTAAACATTGAATTCTATAGTAGACTATGAAAGTCAATGGGTACTGCTTTGTAATATTTAAAAAAAACAAAAACAAAAAAAACTTATTTTGTGTTCAGCGGAACGTAAATAGGTGAAGTAAATAATGACAATGTTCCATTTTGGGTGAACAATCCCTTTAAGACTGTCACTGTTACCAAACCAGGCACATAAGTTTTACCTGCTGACTAATTATAAAAGACAAAGAAGTCCCTTAGACTTAAATTAACACTAGTCATATAGGGAGCATACAATAATAGGCTTCTGTGACTGCAGCCAATAAGTAATCATCCAGAACACACTAGAAACTGCACAGTAATGACTAAATACCACAATACAGTTAAGCAACCACCCATAACACCCTTGCCTAGTCTTGGCGTTTTAAAAGTGTAGTACACCTTAAAACGTATCCCATAATTTACTCTATTTCCTCAAGCCATTCTTGATGTATATGAATTTTCTTTTAAATAAACACAGAAGTATGTAATAACGTGGCTCTTGTAATAGTAGTAAATGGTGTCCGAGTTTTTAAAGTAATCCACATGACTCCAGTGCTTTAATGAATGCCTTCTGAAGCAAAGCAAAGGGGTTTTGTAAGAAAAAATATCTATATTTACTGTGAGACTTTGAAAAACTATTATCACTGGCTTCCAAGAACTGGCATAAACACATTCTACGAGTCGAGTGGGGATGTAAGTGAAACAGAAGCTAAATTGAGAATTAACGCCTCCCTCTGGCAAGAGTTTTGGCAGGATTTATTTTGGCTTTACTGTAGATTTGTACTGCAGCACTATCTGTCTTACACTCATGTGTCTATCTAGGATAGCCAGTTACACATCTGTGTTCATCAGTAATCATCATAGCTATTGCTGTCAGGGTCAGGGTTATCTTCATACCTTGTAATTTGACTGTTTCATTAATGAGCACAGAAGTTGACAGAGACCATTGAGAGGAAGGAAAAAAAAAACAGGGTGCATAGTTGAAAAAAGATAAAAAAAAAACGTGTACTGACACTACTTAAACCACTTTTTGTATCTCACATCCACCAAGCTATCGAGTATGCTTTGATTACACCTTTTCTCTTTAAAAAAAAAAAAAAAAAAGATGCTTTTTTATTGCCATCACTTATTGTCAACATGACCAAACACTAAAAACTGTAGCAATCAAGACGTTTTTAACAATTCAAAACACATTCTTATATTTGCAGAAAGATGACATTTTCACATTTGACCAACATTGTTAAATGAATATCATTCAAAATCTTAATTTGTAGTTATTATAAATATTAAATACAGTGAATCCACTCTGTCAAACATATATGTTAATTAACGGTTTCCATATTTTGTGGTTCAACCAGTGTTTTCTGTTTATTTATTGTTGTGAATTGCATTATGGGATGTTGATCTCTGCTCTGTCGACTTTTGATGTGGAAAATTCTACCTTTTTCACTTCAGGGCCCACTTTTTTTTTCCGATTAATTTTTGAGGGGCTTCCTGTCTAAGATTTTCTCTAAGATTTTTGTATAAAAAGCTCATTTAAACCTTTATTCATTAACAAATATTATATTATATTATATTATATTATATTATATTATATTATATTATATTATATTATATTATATTATATTATATTATATTATATTAAATTATTATAACAAATATACAATTGAAGTCAGCATTATTATTTTATAAAAAATTAAAGACTGCTTTTATTTTATATTCTCCAGAAGAAAAAAATATTATCAGACACAATGTGAAAATGTCTTAGGTCTTTTTAACATAATTTAGGAAATATTTAAAAAAGAAAAACATAATTCAAAAGGTGTTTATTAGTTCTGACTTCAACTGTATATTATACAATTCTTGTGTCTTCTATTATTTTCTATTATCTGCATTTTATTTTTAAAAAATCTTTAAATGTAATTATATATAAAACAAACTATTTTATATGTAATTTTATTTATTTATTAATTTATTATTTTTTTAAACATACAGAGATTCAAAAAGAACCAAAGGTAAACAGGGATATTGCAAAAGATCAGCTTCTACTTTAAACTGGACCGACATCTACTATTAAATATATAAAAAATATACAGACAAATGTAAAATACAGTAAAACACCCTAAATCTGTTGAAATGTGTCAATCTGATGGCGGTTGAGTTTGCAGCTAGATATTACTGGATAAAGATCACTGACAGGAACAATTAACAGCTCCACCAGAGTGCGTCTGAAGCTCATGTTCATTCTTCATTCTATGGCAGAAACACCATGCATTTACCCTTGCTCCTGTATGAGCTCGCGTCCGTTATAAAACACTCACAGGACATTAATTTGGACAACTAAGCAGATATATGAAATAGTTCACACAAAGAGATTCTTTCACTTTCACTTCATGCATAGTTTATGAATGAACAGATATGCATAGTTGCAGACGCGATCATGAGGCTGTTTTTGTGCCCAATTTGAAGTGATCAATCAGAGAACAGGAAAAAGCATATTACTTTGATCATTTGATCATTTAGTTCATTATAATGAAATCCAAAAGTGATAGTATAATATTGAGTTAATTTTTAATCTTGCGGCCCATCTGCAGGGTCGCTGAGGTCCACTAGTTGAGAATTCCTGATATTATGTATCAGAAATAGCTTTGTAAAATAACAGAAAATGTGCTGCAGTTTATTACAGGGTGTTTGTGGCGTAGTATACAACACCAAACCAGACAATATAGCACTTCATTAAAAATGTTCAGAAAAGTCACTTTTCCAACTTTTTAGAGTTGTTTTAAGTTCAGTTGTTGGAGGAAAGATTTTCCACAATGTAATTCAAAAGCATAAATAAACAGGGTAAAATTAAAAACATAAATAAAAAAAAAAAACAGAAAACTGCTCATTTACGGATATATTTTGGAGTGCATCTATTATTAACACAATCACAACAAACAGTGAGTATTATTGTGAGTTATTGTTTTTTTCACTCACTGCCTTCAGCTTATTCCCTGATTTATCAGGAGTGGCCACAGCAGAATGAATTACCAGTTGTTCTTGTTTAAAAAGGTTTTTATTTTACAAGATTTAGATTTAAGAAAATCTGACGGTTGACATTTTTTTTTGCCACACTTTCACAAAACATGGCCCTATGTTGTAGCCATTTATTATATAAATATATATATATTTTTATACTTGCTTTGATATGAGATATCAATAGGTCTTGCCAAGAATACATTTTTATATCTTTTACACAAAAAAAAAATATATATACAGTTGAAGTCAGAATTATTAGCCCCCTTGTTTATTTTTTCCCCAATTTGTGTTTAACGGAGAGAAGATTTTATTAACACATTTCTGAACATAATAGTTTTAATAACTCATTTCTAATAACTGATTTATTTTATATTTGCCATGATGACAGCACATAATATTAGACTAGATAGTTTTCAAGACACTTCTATACAGCTTAAAGTAACATTTAAAGGCTTAACTAGGTTTATTAGTTTGCAGGTTAAACTAGGCAGGTTAGGATAATTAGGCAAGTTATTGTATAATGATGGTTTGTTCTGTAGACTATCGAAAAAAAAATAGCTTTAAGGGGCTAATAATTTAGAAATTAAAACGGTGTTTAAAAATTAAAAGCTGCTTTTATTCTAGCTGAAATAAGAAGTTAGGGTTAGGGTAAGACAAAAAAGAAAAAATATTATCAGGCATACTGTGATTTTTATTTATTTATTTTTTGCTGTTAAACATCATTTGGAAAGTATTAAAATAAAAATCCATGCATCCATCCATGCATCCATCCATCCATCCATGCATCCATCCATGCATCCATCCACCCATCCATCCATCCAGACAGACAATTTAATGTAGAAAATTATCACAACTTCTGTAAAAAAAAAGAAGCAAATTCAATGGTAACTTCTTGAGAAGAAGGTTTCAAGACCTACAATAATCTCACTCTCTAACCTTTTTCTTACAGGATATTTGTGATTGGAGATGGTTCAGACTCCGGTTCACCATCTAGTCCTACTTTAGAGGAGAAAAGGAGACCTGGAAACCTGCTGATCTGGCAGGAGAGAGAGCGAGCCCAGCAACAGAGAGACAGAGCCAGCACGTGAGTAAACCATGAAATAAACCAGTCCAGAAAATGTGTAATTCAAACATGAGTTAAAAGATTATGTAACCTTGAAAAGTAGGGGTGGGAAATTGATCCTAATATTAATTGGATTGATATCAAAGTTGGTATTCGACCGATACTATCTAAAAGACATTAGTTTTATTTTTTTCTAATATACACTGATATACATTGCTTCCCCTACATTAAAGTGCATGGGACTATGTGGCATTTTAGCTGCTATGAATGAGAGATGGCAGTATGAACGAAGAATATCATATGGAGATTTTTTTTACGTTTGTAACTGTGTGTGCAAGAATACATTTTAAAATGTTTGTTGTCTAAAGCACATTTTGTGCTGTTATTAGTTTGTTTTAAATGATTAGAGAGAAATCGTGTTGTGTTAGGCTATTACAATATTCTTTATTGAGGAAAAACACACAAAGAAGAATAAGAAATGCAACCCAAATGAAAAAAAAAAAATTAAGTATTATCATGCACATTATTCTAATGCTTTTATTTAAAGATAAATACAAATGAAGGTTACAGAAATTTTAATATTAGAAACTCTGAAATTAAATAATAATAATACTTGTTATTTATTATTATTATTATTATTATTATTATTATTATTTTGAAACTTTAAGGATCTGAAACGTTAAGATTAGAAACTCTAAAATAATAATAATATTGATAATAATAATAATAGTAATTATTGTTTATTATTATTATTTATTATTTTTATGAAACTAAGAATCAGAAATTTTAAGATTAAAAACTCTAAAATTAAATAATAATAATAATACTGGTTTATTATTATTATTATTATTATTATTATTATTATTATTATTATTTAATTTTATAGTATTTGCATCTTTAAATTTCTGATTCTTAGTTTCATAATAATAATAATAATAATAATTAACAATAATAATAATAGTTTCTAGTCTTAAAATTTTCAATTCGTAAAGTTTCATAATAATAATAATAATAATAATAATAATAATAATAATAATAATAATAATACTGGGCGAGACAGTGGCGCAGTGGGTAGTGCTGTCGCCTCACAGCAAGAAGGTCGCTGGGTCGCTTGTTTGACCCGGCTTAGTTGGCGTTTCTGTGTGAAGTTTGCATGTTCTCCCTGCCTTCACGTGGGTTTCCTCCGGGTGCTCCGGTTTCCCCCACAGTCCAAAGACATGTGGTACAGATGAATTAGGTAGGCTAAATTGTCCATAGTGTATGAGTGTGTGTGTGAATGTGTGTGTGGATGTTTACCAGAGATGGGTTACGGCTGGAAGGGCATCCGCCGCATAAAAACTAGCTGGATAAGTTGGTGGTTCATTCCGCTGTGGTGACCCCAGATTTATATAGGGACTAAGCCGACAAGAAAATGAATGAATGAATAATAATACTTGTTTATTATTTTTGTTGTTGTTGTTTATTATTATTATTATTATTTATTTTATTTTATTATTATTAATATGAAACTATGAATATTTAAATTACAAACTATTATTATTAAAATTATTATTATTATTCTTATTATTATTACTATTATTATTATCATTATTTATATTATTTAATTTGAAAGTGTCTAACATCAACGCAGAGTTATGAGATAAGGTTTGTGTATTGTGGGGTTTGTTTGTTTCATTTGGTAATACTTTGGATGTCATACTGTCAGGGTGTTTCCTAAAATTAAATTAAAGAAAAAGAACAGTATACTGCTGGGCCTTAGAGTTGATGCAGCAGTTGAGTCATGCAAAGCAATAAAAAATCTGCTAGAGGACATGCTATTTCTTTGCTGAGAGTTTGTCGTCACAGACATTGTGGTTGTAAAGGAAACCACTGTTACCTGCTGTCATGCGTCTTTACTTCATTAGTGTCCTAAAGCCTGTTTAAAGTTTTGAATTACTAGAAAGCACAGCCAGGGAAGCATCAGAACCACTCCTTTTAAATGATTCTATTTGTAAGAATAAAGTCTGGTGTTATCAGTAGGCTATTGACTAATAAGTGTTTGATGTCTTACAGTTTGCAGAAGATAACTGTAAAAACAGGAAGTAGCTCAGCGGCGGTGACGACGACAGCAAAGCACGGAGGAACAGGAAGCTTTTCAGGGTAAGAGTGGAGCAAATGGTTTGCATATGCATTTGTGTGTTCTCTTTGTATGCATGCTGGGGTTAACAGTTTGTTGTGGTAATCTCTGTCAGATACCATATTACTAGCACTGATGAACAGCTAAATAATAATAATAATAATAAAAACTGTATTTATAAAGAAATAGTTCAACTTTTTTAAACGTTGATGAAGTGGTTAATGCTGATTGTGTTCTTTTTGTTGTCTAGATTTCAGCTGTCAATATGCTTTAGTAGTTTTGCGACTTGTTTATTTTTGGTCTCTGTGTCCCTCTAGTGGTGATTCAGATAGCAGTTCTCCACCTAATGGCCTGAAACAGAGATGTGCAGTGAGTCCCCCACACACACTTACACGAATATTTATTTATTTATTTATTTTTGTTTACTGGGACCTTTTCATATGCACAATACATTTTGGTCACGCTTTATTTTGATGATCCATTTGGTGAATTTAAATTGCATTGAATCTATAACAATTAGTTGTTATGTAGATGCAAAGTAGACTAGTAAATTGGTGTTGGGGTTAGTGCAAGTTCACATGTCCTTACAAAGTTTCTTATATTCAGGTAAATGTCTGTTGAAGGAGCATTATCAACAGATATTAAGCAATTGGTCTAATACTTCTTAAATGGACCATCAAAATAAAGTGTTGCCTGCATTTAAATTACTCTCTGCACTAAGGTTACTCTTTACTTGTTACTCTTTGCAACTAAGGTGGTTGTATTAGTTAATGTTAGTTAATACATTTACAGACATGAACAAGTCATCCATTGTTACTTTGTCAACTCACGGTGCATTGACTAATGTTAACAAGCATCAATTTGGATGTTAATAATGCATTAGTAAGTGTTGAACTTTGGTTAATTAATGCTGAACGAGTTATGTTCTTTTTAATAAATGCATTAACTAATGAACGTTATTGTAAAGTGTGTTCATATTTTATTCTGTAAAAATGCTAATTATATGGCCATACCCCTAAACCCAACCCTCACAGGAAACCTGTGGCAAATTTTGAATGTCAGAAGACCCCGTGTTGTATGATTTTTAAGCATTTTGAATTACAAGGACATCAGGCATGTCCCCATAAACCACCTTAAGAGAGAACAACCCATGACATTTTGCAGAAAAAGGTCCTTGTAAACCACCAAAACCACTACACACACACACACACACACACACACACACACGCATACTTGTTTTTGTGCATTGTGGGGGTCACCTGTCACGGTGGTTACGTAATGGGGACCGCCCTTTCTGATGATGTTAGAGACATAAAAAAAATAGTTTGCCACACAAAAACACAAACTATTTCATAAAATCACTTCAGATTTTGGATATTCCGCAATTTTATTTTTAGACCTGACACAGTGGTCACTTGTGGGGACATTTCAGGTTTTGTGTAGAAGTGGGGTCCGCCACATACACAACCGATTTTTAGACAAAGTGGGGACCAATTCTACACACACTTTACTGGTTTTGAGACAAAGTAAGGACCAGTTCCAGATACACATTACCGGTATTGAGTCAAAGTAGGGACCAGGTCTACACACACATTACTGGTATTGAGTCAAAGTAGGGACCAGGTCTACACACACATTACCGATATTGAGTCAAAGTAAGGACCAGATCTACACACACATTACCGGTATTGAGTCAAAGTAAGGACCAGATCTACACACACATCACTGGTTTTGAGTCAAAGTAGGGACCAGATCTACACACACATCACTGGTTTTGAGTCAAAGTAGGGACCAGATCTACACACACATTACCGGTATTGAGTCAAAGTAAGGACCAGATCTACACACACATTACCGGTATTGAGTCAAAGTAAGGACCAGATCTACACACACATCACTGGTTTTGAGTCAAAGTAGGGACCAGGTCTACACACACATTACTGGTATTGAGTCAAAGTAGGGACCAGGTCTACACACACATTACCGGTATTGAGTCAAAGTAAGGACCAGATCTACACACACATTACCGGTATTGAGTCAAAGTAAGGACCAGATCTACACACACATCACTGGTTTTGAGTCAAAGTAGGGACCAGATCTACACACACATCACTGGTTTTGAGTCAAAGTAAGGACCAGATCTACACACACATTACCGGTATTGAGTCAAAGTAAGGACCAGATCTACACACACATCACTGGTTTTGAGTCAAAGTAGGGACCAGATCTACACACACATCACTGGTTTTGAGTCAAAGTAAGGACCAGATCTACACACACATTACCGTTTTTTAGTTAAAGCAAGGACCAGTTCTACACACACATTACCGTTTTTTAGGCAACGTGGGGATCAGATCAGCACCCTTACTAATATTAAATTTTAAACCTCAATCAAGTAATTTGACAGTAAACTGCTTTAGAATTTTCATTTGAAGAGCAGGTCAGTTTATAAAAAATGTAATTTGAATACAGAAGGAACCTCAAGATCCAAACAGGAAATGGCCCAGAATAGATTTAATAAATGTTATATTTATTATAAATAATTTCCACAAAACCTTTAAACACAAAAAACAGTAAACACAAAATCCATGAAACTCTCTTGCATGTCTAAAAGCAGTTCTCATTGGGTATAACAAGCTTCCACATAACTCTTCCATGTCTGTATACACATTTAGTTAAGTGCAATAGCAAATAATATTAAACGGTAAGCTGTCTATGGAGGATGAGGAGTTCTTGCACTTTACCTAAGTTATCTTCCTTTGAGTCTGAAGATGAATGAAGGTCTCAGGGGGTTAGAGTGAGATGAGGGCAAGTAATTAATAATATAATGTACATTTTTGGGTAAACTCTTAAAACCCACCAGTATGTTCTATTTCTGTTTCTGTCGTATTTTAACTATTTGAAAAAAAAAAAAAACATTAAAAATATTTAAAAATATATTAATAAAGGACTGAACCCCACAAATGCACAGAGACCTTCATCATATAACCAAGCCACCAAAACTCCAAATAGACATCATTTGTTAAGCATTAACTCTACATTAATAGTAAGCAGTTTATAAACACAGCTAGATGCTCTTTTGTTGACTTATAAGCATGTGTGATGTGCTCAATTTTTGTGTTTTCATACTTTGTTTATAATTCATTTTTCATTACTAAATGAAGTATTGCATTATTTACAAACTGTCTAAGAATAATTGGTGTTTTTTAAGATCATTAAGAATGAGTAAATTTATACATTTACTATTCAGGCATATAATCAGGGCAAAAAAAAAAAAAAAAAGAAAATCCAATCGGTTCACTCTGAGCAGAATTTATATTTTTTCGGTTCTGTTCTTGCGTTCCTTAATAGACAAAATATTCCGAAAACAGTTTTCTAGAAAAAAAAAACAAAAAACAAAAAAACTTTATTTAATTACAAAGTATTGCAGGGCTCTAGAGTGCTCTGTTTTTTAATGGTGCAACTAAAAAATCTATACAAGGGGTAAGATTAAATGAATTTTCAATAAGTATCATTAAAGATATATTTATAATATGAACTTGCTTTTGGTTATTGATTGACACGCTGTTTAAAGGTGCTACACACAGCCCCACTCCTTGGTATCGAGCGCAGGCCCGGCGCTACATTTAGATGTTGTATAATATGAAATAGCAGTAAAATTATAAAAATTGTTATGAAATAGTTTTTCAGTTATGTAGCCGAATAAAAATATTTAGTACACTGCACAGTGCAATTATTATTTAAATTTATTATATCCATTATTATTAATATTAGTAAAATCTTTTTTAAAAATTTACTTTAGGCTATACTGCTATTTGCTCATGCAAAATTAAACACCAGAAAATATATCGTAGGCCTATATTAAGAGCTAAATTACAGTTAGCATCATAATTAGTTCAATTATGTGCTGTAGGCTATTGATTGACCAACACCCCCTGTATACAGTTTACACACTGCAGGTCTACAGTTCTGATGTGTATTTTGAATTACTTGTTTTAAATGACAGTAAGACATGCTATATTTAGTTTTTATAGTAAAATATACATTATAATCCAGTACAAAGTAAAATAATATTTATTAGTGGCCTATTGGCAGCGTATAGCCGTTAAGCTTATAGTCTAAGCATGTCATTTTATTATTATTAACATAAATTACAAAGTAGCATCCTTATGATTTTATTTCGTTTCTGTATATTTTTATCAAACGAAAAATGCAATGAGTTATACTTTGGTTTTAATTTTATTAGAAATTTAATAGCCGATTAGGCAACACTACTTCTACATGTCATTGGCTCTGATTGCGTTTTTTACAGATAACCTATTTACAAAGATTTTTATTAAACAAGTGCACTACCACAAGATATTTTTGTAGGTGTAAAAATCTAAAAAGTATCATTATCATATTCTTGCCTTATTCATCTTTAATATAAATATAAAATTTAACACATTCATTGATTAAACTAGGGATGCTAACGATTACTCGATTGATTTATTGTCGGCAACCCTTTAAAACCGATAGACCTTATCGATGACCGATTAAGCATGGGCATTTAATAAGTTATGCTTTGCTCTTTGAGATGCGTCCACGATTTCACACATTACATAATCAAGTGTGCGCAGTTTAGGCTACGTTACCCTATGGAGTCGTGCACTCTCTTGACTTTGCATATTGGTTATGCACATATTGGTCATACCTATTATGCTCAGATCTCGTTTATCCGCTGGTGCTGCCATTAATCCGCTGGTCAAGTAATCAAAAAGTAGGCTACATGACGTTTAATTATGGGCAGGTTATTAAGACCAAACATTGGTTGTGCAAACTGTATTACGTTCTCTAAAATTTTAAAGTGTTTTAAGCTACATTATCTTTTATAGACTGGCATAGGCCTAAATACGCATCACGGCCAGACATTTATAGTTTATATAAAAACGAGCGTCACCGTCGCATTTGTTCACATGCTTTAAATTAATGCCTTTTGTCTCCCAAATTCATATAATAAAGAGAACGATAAAATAACATTATTAACCGTTTAACTGTAAACATTTCTGTTCAGAACGATTAAAGTTGATCTTTTTTTTTCGGTTTTCGTTTCTGTTCCTGAAAAATGTCATTTGATTCTGTTTTTCGTTTCCGTTCCTTGAACCGGTTTGGAGCCCTGCATATAATACGTTTTTCTGCATGTTAATTAATGCTTTATTAACTCAACTTCATGCAGTTTTGAGATCTAATCTAAAGTGAGGAATATTGATGCTTTAGAAAATCCCTTATAAATGACAATTAAAGGCTCAGAATCATTCATTTATTCATTTATTTTCATTTTGGTTTTCTCTCTTTATTAATTCGGGGTCGCAACAGCGGATTGAACCACC